GGTGCCAGTTCTCAAGTTGCGAATCGTTCGACGAGACCCGGCCACACATTGAAATTTGACGAGGTCAAAATTCTCGCTAGAGGTGACAACCGTGTGAGTCGAGAATTACTTGAGTCATGGTTCACGGGCCCTAGTCCATAAACATGTGCAACAGCCTACACAATCCATATTCGGTGTTGAGGCTCAATTAGGCCAAAGCAAGTCGTCACTTGGGGAACACACAAGCCAACACCGGGGAAGCAGATGGCCGAGCAATCATCATGTCCATTCCACCACGCGTGATGCAAGTTCAGCAAGTCACGAGACACCCAAGACACGCACAAGAGGGCAATTATCGTTAACTGTCGTTGTCATCAGTGTGCAGATATGAAAGTATCCTATAAATACTGCGACTTCCTGTGCATGGATTACCCGCTTCTGCTACTGTTTTCTGTTTGCGTCTCTGAGGAAGAAGCCGTGACGGATGTCGAAACCTCAGGCGAATAAAATTCTTGTCCCAGCAGTCGTATTTTATTCTTCTCGATTAGAGTTTAGTTTACGATTAAGTTTAAGGTTGGAATTGGAGTCAGAGTCGAAGGTACGGTCAGGGCTAAGGTTGGAGTTCCTGTTAACTGCCGAGTTTAGGTTGAGGGCAGGGCAGGGCTAGGGTTATCGTTCGTATTGAGGTTCAAACAGAGGAATATTTGCCCTTCCTGAAATGGGTGGGACGTTCCTATTCCCTGGTCCTGTAAGGCGGTTATACAAGTCAGCCGTACCCCTTGGTTTTACGAAACCCCCTCGATTTACTATGAGTATTAACAAATTAACGCTAAAATGATATGTAAGACCCACCAGTCAGTATAAAATAATCCAACTGTACCTGTATCGGGGCTGGCGAATTTTAAGTGTTAGGCTCTAAGGAAAAAGAATTACGCGAATTCCTCAAGCCGCAAATTTTGTGGGGGTGTTACTGTGCTAGAATGCTGGAAAACCATTAATGCCAAACCACTGTGCAGAGCTCTCCCGCTCCACAGTACTTTTGTAGATGTCAATCGGGGTGTCGGCGCCTATCCTGCGTATGCTAGGCACACAGAGAAAGGTGATGGGCTAGATCAAAAATCTGATACAACCACCTTTCCGCAAAAATGTCTGACCCACCGAGACAATAAGGGATCACAGAGGGACAACTGATGCTCCCGAAAAACAACAAGATGTTCCGAACCGGAGACAGCAGGGGACGCCAACAGTGGAGATGCCAGATAAAACGGCAAGAACGACAGCAGACGTCAATCAACGCGCGCTAAAAGGACTCAGAGGATGGAGGGATCTTAAGGGGAGGTCTGAAAACCAGCACCGTCATTTGAGACGCCGCTTGACTAGTTTTTCTTCCTCAAAGTTAGCATCTTCCCTCCTCCGCCCTCCTTAACTCTGCTGGTCGGGGAAATCTTGATTCCCGCGATGACAGACGGTAGTCCGATCATCACAAATGAGTTGTGAGCTTCGCCCAAGCAAATTTACCACGCAGTCTTTAGACGGCCATTAACTGTGTATAAAGAGCCAATGAGGAGGAAACAGAGGAATAAGAAGAAAAAGCAGGGAAGTGTTGGCAAACCCATGGTTGGACCGTACCCTTGGACAATGGCCTGACAAAGCCACAGCATGTTGGCTTTTGTCCCAAATCTTGATCACACTGGTGGTAAAATATTTCCGCACTCGACAAACAACCCTGTTACGCCTATTGGCTGCTAAATTTTGAAGTCACAGGGGGCCACTTCTGTTGAGTTGTTTTGAATATGCAGGCAGGTTACGACTTAGTAGAGTATGAGGGT